TTGAAAACCTATGGGCTTGCAGGAGGCAAAGACGTCATTTTGGACATGCAAAGTAACTTAGCTAGTGAGCCCCATTGGCTGTTTATTCACCGGGCGTAATAAACTTTCGGTTTGGTACTATACATTACATGCCAGGTATCGGTAGTCTCTGTATTGCTGATCAATACGCTGACAGTGCGAATCGCCAATTTGAATATCCAATCGAATCAGCCGCCGCTTTGAGACTGCGTCTAGACTCAAGAATGCTTTTGACTAGTGAACCTGGCGTGCAGCTTGGCGTGCAGCTCGGCGTGGTCACTTCGTCGTGGTACGGTATACTGACGACCAAGCCGCCCTGCGCGGCGTCGTAGGCGAAGGATCAGACTCATCAGCTCGCGCCTCCCAGCGCTTCGGTGATATGATCAAGACTGCCCCGAAGGCATCCTCAGGCATCAGCTTTCATCGCGTTTACAGGCAACAAAGCCACCGGTGCACTGGTGAAAGCCGTCCATGTCGTTAAACGACTCTTGGAATGCTCACCGAGCCAATCAACAGGCGCATGGCAAGGACGAACCCGAAAAAGGGCACGGGAAACTTGGCGGCAAGTCAGCGCCCGTGAACGGTACCAAAGCGTGGACTTCAACGAGTCCTTCGTAGGGCTCTCGCGAAACTAACCCGAATGATAGCCACCAAAAGCGGCACGAGCTGCCCCGCGGCGCTTCGAGATTCTCGCAGGTCAGAGCGAAATTGTTCCGCGGATGCGAGGGTACCAGAAAGTTGAGACCGTATTCTTCTCTGCCGAAACCCTTCCGACTCGTCAGCTTCACCAAGACTTCTTTCAGTTTCCATCAAAAACTTCAAGCTTTCGGACTCAAGCAGCAGAACTTGCGTGACGCGCGGCTGTGTACAGATACAGATGTTTTGGAATCGTGAAGAAGATGTAGCTGAGATGCCGTAGCAAGCTCTGGATGCCTCCCGTCGGTGAGGACTAATGACGCAGAACCGTCTTGCTGAGATATCCATGAAAAACACATCGCGGCATGCCAGTTCCTCGTCCAATGTGTCTGAGGCTTCAACAAACTGATCGGGTGTTCGCAAAATGCAAAGAAAAGCTCTGGAAATCGATGTATCAACAATCGCAGCCGTGGTTCTTGGTACAGTTTCCGTTGCAATCGGGGTCATCGGTATCTGTCTCGCCTATACACAGCTTCGAGTTGCTTTTCTTCAGAACCCACGGCTTGGCATGGTAAGATCACCCCGGACTGCTGGTTCGCTCACGGATTCGACTGACGATGATTCTATAGACTGTGCACCCCTAAGCCGAGGGTAACTGTCAGGGTGAAGGCAGCAAAGCCATGAGCTGGCGGCCACGGCCAATTGAGGGAGGCTTCTCACTAACTGTTCGCATGAGCACAGTTGTTACACACCAGTCAATGCCTCATCCGACATGCGCTCTGCCAGCTGCTGTCGATATAACGGTACACGATTCTCGCTGCTTGTCACTCTCACCAGCGCGCTCCGCCTGGATCTGAAATGTACGGACCTGCGCAGCCGATGGCTTCTTTGGACTTGGCGAGGTTTCGAACACAGTTCGCGCACTCTCTGTATTTGATTCGAGCAGGGCCAACGGTATTCAGTTGGTGTTGACTATATACGGCTGCAATCGCTCTCTACGTACTTATTCTGCGCTGCCCCCGGCCAGAGGGCGCAATTCCTGTTTCACCTCATCGTTGAGTTCTTTAATTACCATATCCGCCGATGTTGCCATATAATTTTCTAGTTGCACGAATTTGAAGAAGGTCGCAGCGAACCGGCTTCTAGTTTGCGCTTGCGCTCCAGCTTGGCGCGCTCCAGCTTGGCGTAACGCAGGCCACAGGCGTTGCACAAGGTGCCGGCGCCGTCCGGACCGCGCCGCCATTCAGGCGTGTCGACTCTGTTGCATCTGCGGCAGCGGCCGGGAGGAGCAGCACGCTGTAGAGCTGTTAGCTACGCCACTGGTGCTGAGTCGTATTGAATTGACTTACGCCACGACGCTTCTTACCATCCTTGACGGAATTGTGAGGCTTCATGGTGTCATTGTACTGTTTGTCGGCCGCAGAAACAGGTTCGGCGTCGGCCTGCGGATATAGAGTATTGCAGTGTTGCCTAGGTGGGAAGAGGCCATTCGGCAGAAGCATCTGACCTGGAGGTAGACGACCGAGGTGGACCGAGATCGGATTCGGGATAGGAGAGTAGCCGTCCGAGATGGAAGAATAGTAGTGGACAGGGCTTTGGGCACACCGCTCTAGCTTCCCGGTTACCGCAGCTGTGCGATATGTGATGGGATACTGATCGGGGTGGCCGCCGTCAGATGTAGGCTGGGGTGGCATGCTATTGCAAGGAGAGAAGAGTGGTAGCACAAACGCATCAGATATAATTTCTGCGATGGAAGGCAAAGCGGAAGTTTTGGATGGATTGAGACGGTGCACAGCTGTCATGGCGGCTTGGAGAGATGCGCAGCGATGTTGCGAGTGTTTGGTATGAGAGTAGCTTCTAGAGGAGGCGATAAGATGCCATATCTGGAGAAAACTCGCGTCCGAACGGTCGACGCAATACCTGTGCTATAAAGACTGGCCTCAATACTTACTCAGCCGTCCCGCCCGAAGCCCCAGTGGAGATCCTGTGCAGCCAAGGAGTAAACAACAGCAATTAGGGGTATTGTTCCGCGCGCATTGATACGTTGTCCCCGTCCGATCAAATTGGATGTCCGTCACGGGTCCGCGGAGGAGATCAGCGTCCTTTGGCGTGAGACGAACCTCTTCCTATAGAAGTACCTGTGGGTAGACAAGGGGAAAGATACCAGTCCGCCATCAGCAGAGTGGGCTAGCTGCGCGGCAGCATCCCGGCCACGCCGTACAGCACACAAGTTCAGATGTCACGAAAGATGTGTGTGTGGGATAGGTGGCGGCCTGTGAGTGCCAGGATTAGCGGATTAGGTACTGCGTCCGTACATGCGAGCCTTGTCGCGCCGGTGCTGTGCGTCACAGGTCTTGCAATAGTCAATGTCTTGTGGAACTAAATTGAGAGGGCACACTTGGTACTGACCCGCTTCCACTGCGACAGACGATGGGAAGAAGGAAGAAGGGGGGGTGGGAGGTGCAGCATCGTTTGATTAGTGTTCCTCTTTGAGGAAGGCGGGCGGCGGCAAGAGATCCCGACGTAGATACGAGTCAATGCCTGTCTGATAGCGTTTTGTGCCAGTGCAAGCTACGCTACTGGTTTGCCAGAACTCCCATATGTCGACTTCTCAGCTGCCGGCGTACGAGAGCCGGCAGTACTGACTACTCTTGGACGCACTGCGGCTTGTTGGGTGTCCGTGTTTATCTATACATAACCGGGGATACCAGATCAGCCCGCCATCACAGCGGAGTTCGTGTCCCTTGCCTTGCACCGATCCAGCGGGCTACTACCATGCTGCGATGGTCGTGGGCGGGCTCGGGTTGGTGCCACTCTCTTACGGGGGCACCATGGCCACTAGTTGTGAGCAAAAGCCATGGTGGCTGGTTCATCACACGCCACGCAGCCACTGGCTGGGACGGCTTGCCTCGGCCTCGAAGGGGTATGTCCCCGAGAGACTGCGGTGTGGTAGCAGCCAAAGTCGGATGTGTTACGCGTTCTAGCAGTTCTACCGGACCCAAACATGTCAAGTACTCCTGTGGATCTAGCCCAATATCGTCACCGATATGCTCTGTTTACTGACTTGCGCACTATCTTCAGCTCGAGTTGTCGTCTTGGCTTCAAATGCTGACCAAGAGGTGTTCGTTCTGGATAGTCTAACAAGTCGAGTTTATTCAACCCCGAACATTTACACAACCACGGCTTAGTAGTTTCTCTTTACAGAAGAAACCGTGAAATAGTGGTTGCCTTCTCTCTCGGACTTAGAATTATGCTTTGCTTGGTAGTGGACAGATACCATTATTCCTCTTTTATAAATTAGCGCTCTGTCACATCGTGCCGTGTTTACTGCTCCTCATGTCAAGCAGAGGACTTCGTTCTCCTTTTCTTGAACCTTGGACACCATAAGCTCCCACCAGGGTTGCCTCATAGCAATGGCGCAGGGCAGTTCCGTGTTTGGTGCGGGCACTGGGACTTCATGGTCCATCCAGCTCTGAATACGTCTCAAAGCTTGATAAAGTGGCGGCACGCTCTGTCGCAGGAAGTTAATTAGCAACTAGCTTGAATGGAGGAGCATGTTTCTCTTATGAATGTTCACACTTACACTGCGAACAGGGGTTTCAATGACGTGCTGAAACCAGGCATCCGCGACTAGAACATGTTCTTCTACGGTGGCTAGTAGCCCGAGGAAGAAGACCGGTAGCAGCGGGGCTTGAGCCGTAAATATAAAGCCTGACGTTGGCATAATAGAAATGCACTTGGCTAAGTCGGCTATGTTGTCAACGACCAATTGATGGTTTCGCGGAAGTCTAAGCAAAGGTCAGCATGTTTTGATGCAAGAGACAGAGGTGCAAGAGTAGGTACGGTACTTACCTGAATAGGCGGCACTGCAGGTAGACCATTCCAGCCAGTCTCCACGCTTCCGCCGTCACCCCGGTCATCTGTTTCGCTTCTTGAACAACGTAGTTCTCGCCCACCTGCCGAATCCATTCAATCGGTTGCGATCTGTTTTTAGCAGCGTCCCAGCTATCATATTCTCCACTCCATTGTGGCAACTGCACAAGCTGGTCGTAGAGCATCTGGGCAGTTACAGGCACAATAGGCGTTTCGCATTCTTGTAGCATGCGAGTGGAACAGTAGGTCACCTGGCTGAAGATGTGCAGCAGGCGTTTTGAGAAACCGCATCCACCGTGGATTTCATACATGTCCGACTCAGATCCATATAAGAGGAATCCAAATCTACATGTTTCAACAATAGGGTCGAAAGTAGCGAGAGACGGGAGGGGCATCATTAGCTGAGCTAAAATGACACCTCTACCAACGATGACTGATTGCGATAGGCGTAGGGCAGAGACCTGAACATTTGAGTCTTTATAAAAACGAGAGCCTGGATCCGTGCGCTGAAGCACGTTCTCCGCCTGTGTGAATCCCGTCAACCAGCGAGGCCAGTAGGGTTTTTGGAGCCTGCGTTCTATGAGAACCACATCCTGCATAGAGAGCAATGACGCCAAGGTGACTAGCTCGCCAGACTCGCTTTCGTCTAGAATGGCGGCATCCTGGAGCAGCTCGCTGAGCCGGGCTTCGGCGATGGCAAACCTTTTGTTGACTTGACGCCGTACATTATCACATGGCAGATAATCATGAACATAAACACCAGCGAGGGACTGTATAGCAGCTACAACAGCGGGATGTTTCATGCTGGCGAAATCAGTCAACCACAGGTTGGTTTTTGTTAACACACTTCGCCCAGGACACCAATTATGTATGTCTGTAGAGCAGAAGTTAGCGCAGATTCCCGTGAGATATGGCGAAAGCAGAACTTACAAAAACTGAACAGCTTCCTGCCCATGTTGTCCATAAACACATCATGTCCGAATTGTGGCAGGAGGAGTTGCGGAGCCTTGGTAATATTATTCTGACAATATGATCGGAAGCTTCCTGTCGGTGATTGAAGATGTACGCCGATTTGGGACAGCGGCAAGGTTGATGATTGTAGATAGGGTGAGTCGTTTCCTGCCAAGAGAGTGCTGGTGGAGGCCAGTGATGAAAACAATCGACGCTGCAGCGATCGCTCAAAACTTTGGCTTGATGTCTGTGTAGCAGCGACGGCTGAAGGTGAGTCACCGTTG